TGTAATTGACACAGCCAGGGACCAGCCCCCCCCGGTCACACCCCCTCTGTGACTGACACAGCCAGGGACCAGCCCCTGTCACACCCCCTCTGTGACTGACAGCCAGAGACCAGCCCCTGTCACACCTCCTGTGACTGACACAGCCAGGGACCAGCCCCTGTCACACCCCTTCTGTGACTGACAGCCAGAGACCAGCCCCTGTCACACCTCCTGTGACTGACACAGCCAGGGACCAGCCCCTGTCACACCCCTTCTGTGACTGACAGCCAGAGACCAGCCCCTGTCACACCTCCTGTGACTGACACAGCCAGGGACCAGCCCCTGTCACACCCCTTCTGTGACTGACAGCCAGAGACCAGCCCCTGTCACACCTCCTGTGACTGACACAGCCAGGGACCAGCCCCTGTCACACCCCTTCTGTGACTGACAGCCAGAGACCAGCCCCTGTCACACCTCCTGTGACTGACACAGCCAGGGACCAGCCCCTGTCACACCCCTTCTGTGACTGACAGCCAGAGACCAGCCCCTGTCACACCTCCTGTGACTGACACAGCCAGGGACCAGCCCCTGTCACACCCCTTCTGTGACTGACAGCCAGAGACCAGCCCCTGTCACACCTCCTGTGACTGACACAGCCAGGGACCAGCCCCCATGTCACCCCCAGTGGGATGGGGGCACCTGGAGACTAGTTGCAATCATGCACCCTCGTGTGACTGACACAGCCAGAGAGACCAGTACCTGTCACACACCTAATGGGAGTGACACAGCCAGAGACTGGCCCTATCACATCCCCAGAGTGACAGACACAGCCAGGGACCAGCCCTTCTCACACCCTTAGTGTGATTGACATAGCCAGAAACCTGCCCCATCACTCCCTTCTTTTTGACTGACATAGCCAGACACCAGCCCCTGTCACATCCCCATCGTAAATGACACATCTAGAGATCAGCCTTGTCACACCCCCAATGTGACTGACACAGCCAGGGACTGCCCTGTCACACCCCCCAGTGTGACTGACATGGCTAAAGACCAGCCCGCATCACACCTGCCCTGGGATGGACACCTGCAGACTCACCCTGCTCACACCCACCAGCGTGACTGACATAGTGAGAGCCTGGCCCTGTCACAGCCCCTTGCATGACTGACACACCTAGAGTTCGGCCTCTGTCACACACACCCTAGTGTGAGTGACAAAGCCAGAGACTGCTCTGTCACACCTCCTGTGTGACTGACACAGTCAGAGACCGGCCCCTGCTCCAACCCCCCAACGTGACTAACACACTCCAAAACTCACCCTGCCACACTCCCAAGGAGACTGACACAGCCAGGGACCATCCCCATCCCACCCCCAAAGGGACTGACACCCAGAGACCAGCCCTTGTCCCTCCCCCAGCAGGACTGGGACAGCCAGGGACCAACCCTTGCTACAGCCCTCCACTGTGACTGACATGCTGCTGACAACCTACCCCCAACATGACTGACAGTCCAAGGCCAGCCCTCATCCCACTCTCATACTGACTGACACACCTGAACACTGGCACCTTCCCACACCTCCAGCGCGACTGACACCCAGGGCAACCACCCCTTAATCCCCCTGTGTGCAGGCCTGGAGAACCTGAAGGCCGAAGACACCTGCACACCTACAACTCCCTCCACTCACCGGTACACCCGACGGGGATGAGCCGCTTCCCGCAGCCCCACACGGCCGCTGTGGCCCATTGTCCCCCTCCTCCTGGCACAGCCAGCGCACGGCTGACCTGCCAGCGCAAGACCCAGACATCCAGAAACACAATGGGAGACCCACACGAGGAACAGGCTGTTCTGTAGGGCCCATAGCTGTGGGTAACACCCCCTCAGTAGCACCACAGTGCAGAAAAGCCCTTAAAATGAATAAAAATGTTTGCCCTAACCTCTATGTTGTGCTCAGGCCTAGCCGCTCGTTCCCACTGTGAAACACACACCCATCAGACGGGAAGGGTATTTGTCTGCTGGAGATCTTTTATAAACGTCTGACTTCGCTGTATACTCGGGCAAAGCTGCATCAACAAAAAGTCACTTAAATGCCTGCTAATTCCTTAGCTGCTGGGTGAAAAACATGCAGCATGCAAAGGGGGTTAGAGACAGTGAGGCGCTATGTGACACATCCCATTTCCCTGCACCTTGCTTCCATTTCACGCCAACTCCCAGCTTTTCAACAATTTTTTTTCAGGAGTCTTACATTAATTTGGAATTCTAGGGACAATTTGTCTATAGTTCATGAACAAAAGTCGTTGCACTTGGAAGATGAGCTAACTATTAAACCCCTTTTTGTGGGCATCTGTTCCACTAGTTTATCACTACAGTCTTCACCGCTTCATTGCTGTTAGACCCAGCAATGCAAAATTTTTCATGTAAAATTTGCACAGCTGTGCACTAACACACGTGTTTAACGACACGGGCAGCAGGGTATTTGAATGTGCCGTGGAGATCCAGTACCCGCGCTGAGCTGCGGTGAATAACCCCCTGGCTGCACTGAGCCTGGCTCCCCACAGAGCCCCACCACGGGCTGGCGATCGCAGCACCCACCTCCCTGGGCAGGGGGACGCAGACCAGCTTCGCTCCGTCCCCGCAAGCGCAGCAGAAACCACTCCGACCCTCGAGGCGATGTCCCCAAGCTGGGGTCCAGCAAGCCTGTTCAGCTCCTCTGCTCGTATGCTGTGATTTATTCACAGACCACCTGAACTGCCCACAGATAGCGGAGAAATGACGGCGAGAGTGTGAGCACATACTGTGTGTGCATATATGAGCAATCCCCTAAATATATGGGCTATATGGGAGAAGCCTCCAGATCCAGGACTCTCTGCTAAATTAAGGCAGGGGTATGCTGCCTGTGCTATGCAGATGAGCTGTCATATTGTCTCCCACACAAGAGCATCTCCCAAGGAACCTACACCTACTACAAATATCCTGGAACATATGGACATTTATAGGTCAACCTGGAAAAAGTGAGAATAATGATTGTCCAAAAAAAGCAGGAACCCAAATAATTTTCAAAAGCTATTTTGGAAAATGCAGACATGGAATTGGTTGTATTATACACACCTGAGAGCCATTAGAAAATGTCAGGTTGCCTCTAAAACACACTAGAAGAAAAAAGATGCCTACTGGTTACTTGTGCAGTAAGAGAATGCAGTAGGCAGATAAGATTCACTAATAAAATCAGTGCTGGAGTGACTTTGCAAACATACTCTAACCCTTCTGTTTTTATGGGGGCAAAGTCTGGGGTCTAATCCTAACAGCCAAAAATAGCATCAGGCCACAACTCTGACAGAAGATCTGCGTCTTCACTGCAGGAGCCGCCGTGATGTGTAATAGAGGAACTCCTCTGGTAACAATTCCAGAGCAAAACCAGAATGTTTGTTACCCTTCTCTAAACTGAGCTGGAAAAAAATAACTTCTGCTGCCAACTCCATGAAAACAACACATGTGTCTTGACAGCATAGCATCAGATGATTTAAAAATTAAGACCAAATGACAACACAATATTCTAGGTACTGGGGTGGGCTGGGTGGCAGACCCTAAAGTCATTTACCTACTCAGACTCTCGGCGATCACCTCCAGCACATACCTGCCTCGTCTCCCAGTTGCATCATCCTCAGGAAAATTTCCAAAACCTCAGTTTCTGAAAGAGCTAAACCCTCTGTTGACTGACACGTTAGCTGGAGAGCTGAGATTTCTATAATTAGTATCACAGGGAATTTGGGGAGAGAGTTGGATTTTTTTTTTTTTTGTAAATTTGGATGTTGCACGTTAAAAAAAAAAATATTTCACTTTCACATCAGAACATCAGTCTGTACTTGCAGAGCTAGGGAAGGAGAGCATGCCAGCAGCTGAAAAAGCATTAAATTTGCAGGGAAGTGACTGAAGCAATTGCACAGAAGGGGGCAACTGGAGATAAGACAGGCAGCCTTCTGCCTGCATCCAGCTGTCAGCAAACTCAGACAGAAAAGTTTTTTTAAAGGGGTTGAGGCAGAGGAGGAAAACTGTAGAAATGCCAGCTTTCCCTTATCTGCTACCTATGCGAAGTCTCATTAGATGAATTATTGCTCCACAGCAAGGCTGATCAATGGAGGCAGCCCCTTACCACCAGAACAACACCCTTTCACATCTCTGTTGGGAGCTGCGCACCCAGTACAGTCTGCAGTACTATACAGGGAACGGTGTTGGCAAGGATCACATCTTTGTAAGGTGGGTCCTCATGCCTCGAACATTTTGGTCACTGCTGGGGTGACCAAGGCTCCCGTCTCTGCACATTTGGATGAATGCCCCTTCATTTCTTTCCCTTTGGGCTTTCCTTGTGGTAATCTCCAAGAAGAGTCAAGACATAAAAATCCCTTGCCAACAGGCAGCTATCGAGCCCAGATTAGCCATTTTTT